GAAGTTCCGAACATTTGTGGTCAAAGTTTCGTGAAATCGACTGTAAAATCGTCCCCGGGGTGGGGCATTTTCCACTCTCAGCTTGCCCAGGGGCCGTGGATTAGTCTTCAAGTTGTGTCCAGGCACCCGGGCATTTACACTATCATAACCAATCAAATCAAATGCCCGGGTGAGTTCCCGGGGGGGGGGGATGGTTACTCCTGGAATTGACTCATGCATTATACAGTCGATGTATAATGAATATAAATAATATATATCGGCACTTAAAATATTAATTAATTGATGCCGGTAAAATACAAAACATCAATTTATATATTGCGTAGAATCCAAGATATTCATGTCTGAAATGTTTATATACAGTATTTGAAAACAAACTGTATGGCTCCTTCCTAGCTCTGTATAATGAATATACCGTCAAAATAATATCGACACTTAATTGAATGCCTAGAATCTCGAAGATTTTCTCAATATTTACGTCTGAATTCTGAAAATGAAATGTTTATACATTTGAAAAAAAGCACTGTCTAGCTCCTTCCCAGCTTCGTATAATGAATATACCGTCTATAAAAGAATATCGGTACTTGATTAAATGCCTATAATGCCTAACATCAATTTATATATCGCGTAGATTCTGAAAGATTTATGTCTGAAATGGTTTATATATACATTTGAAAACAACACTGTCGCTCCTTGACGGCTTGATAGCGCATGCGCATTTGCGCTGGTAAAGAAAGAATCGGGGGTTCCGTGGTAGTTATCTTTTATACAACATGAGCAGCGAATGTTATAAAATTTACAAAAAATTACAATAACGAAAACGATTCCTCGAAATTTTTGTGAACTTGGTAAAAGGATAAAAGAATATTTAAATAAAACAACTGAAATTCCCTAAATAACCTTCAAAGCACTGACTAAGTACAATAGATCACTACGAACATAAAGAAACTTCGAAGAAACTTCACACTAAAAAAGATTCGTGCACCAAGAAAGTTTGAAAAAAAATTCGTGCAGACACATTTCAATAGAGAAAATTATAAGTTGAAATAAAAAAAAAATCGTGCAAGGGATTAAATTTAAAAATATTATTGAGACGAGCAAAAAATTTTAAATAATATTCATACAAGTTGAAAGAGTCCCCCCCCCCCCTCATATATCACTTGTCTCAATGTTTCGCCGTAAAATGCGCACTTTTTCGTATTAGGTAAACCCACTTATCCTCCTTTTGAAACAACATGCACGTTCGCATTAATTGCTTCAAGGGATTTTACAATTAGCATGAAAATTTTCTACTAAAGCAGGAAAAGCCTAGGCTTCCAAGAATCTTTGTGCTAAGAATATCTGCTGTAGGTATCTTGTTCCTTGCAATTCTGAACTAGTTCGCAATTCTCAGGTCAAAGCGTATTTGACTGAATGGTATGGGGTCGATCTGCCTAGTTTGTCATGCAAATATTTATGGAATTGAAATCGACGATTTATGGATACGCAAAAAGCTATTGGACAGAAAATATATTTATTTCACTTGACGTAGTTCAGGAATCAAAATATTATATTAAAAGTATTACGATACTAGTCCACTGCAAAACATACTTTAATTACTACTAGTCAAAAATATAATTAATCTACACGTTTTATAACTATGATACATGCATACATCAAACTAATTTAGATTTCGTGTTCGTCTAGTGAAAAATATAACAATGAAAAAGCGTTTATACAATGTTACAACAAAGTAAGCATTTACTTTAACCGGAAAAAAGAGTGTTTATTAAGTTCAGCAAGACGGCTCGTGCGCGAAGAGATACGGCGCTGCTTTAAACTCACTGCAATCAATCTGTCCATCACCATCTTTGTCTGCCAGTTGGAAAGCTTTCACGGTTTCTTTGGAGTGTTCCTCCACGTTTATCGCTTCGGCCAGCTCTTCCAAAGTAATTCCACCACTCTTGTCAAGATCATAGTTTTCAAATTGGTCTGGCAATGGAACCCGAACTGTATTTTGTGGCTTGTCAATTGCGCTACGTTTGCCCCAGGTGCAACGAACTGAACACTGAACTCTGCAAGGAAAGCACACTAGACCACACTGATAGCGACAACCGCGTGCCGTTACGCTGCTGTACATTGTGCACAAAATCAAAATGGTAAAAACTGAGAGTTTATGAACAGAAGTCATCTACAAAATATAAATGGAGTAGGTGGTGTTTAATTGTGTTGTTTGTGCTACAGCTTTCATTCCATGGGTACAGATGATTTATCTGACCAGTATATACACATTTTCTATTTGTGGTAAATGAAATACTCACAGTGTTTTTCCAGAGATGTTCTCGATGTCCGATGCAAAAACTGTGATCTGATATTCTCCAACTGCTCTGAATCTTTGGCTCATAATAAAGTGATTGAAAAGCAAAACCTCTCCTGTATATATAATAGTAAAACCGGAATACGTATTTTTTGGTATAATTGTTGTTTTTTCAAAGTAAAATATCCGCTTCAGCTACAAGATATGTAAATTTGGTGATTGTTTGGTGATTGTTTGGTGATTGTTAGGCCATTCCAATCTTGTTTGCATCGATATTCTCGTACCCAGGATGCGCGTAATGCGAATTCTGAATCCCGGCGAGAAATGAGTGATAGACAGTGTGTAGAAAAAACCTGAAAGACTTAACTGTAATTTTGTGTAATTACAACCCGAAACAATGTGTAAATGCATATCTTACATAATAAAACGACAAGCAAGTTCACTGACTCAAATTATTTTTGCTCCAAGCTTTTCACCCACTGCATTGTATATATTTTTCGTTAGATTGTTTTCTGATACGCCTTAACTCATCAAAAGCTGCAATCGAAAAATATTAAAAGTACTTAATTTTCAGGTCCTTGTGCTAAACTATCGTCACTTATATATGCTGCGCAATATTCGTATATCATCTATAATTGAATGTATTCCTTTTAAGCCTTTTTAAGTCTTGCAATTAAATTAATGCATTAATTCATCATAAAGTGAAAAATGGTTGAACTAGTTAAAATTCATGTGAAGATTTTGTGCATGTAATAATTGTTTTCTTCGTTTTTCGGTCATGCTTTACGGAAATGTGACACTGCATGTATGTTTATTATAATGGTGAATGTCCATTTCAGTTATACTGGCTTGTCGGCGCCATTTAATATATTTACATTTCAAGCCTATAATTTGGTCATTGTTTGGTGTCAGCGCGTTTCTTGCCTTTTGACAGTTTGTTATCGTGTAAAGATCGAGACATGTAGATAACGAGAGCTATTTTGACCAATGCTTCACGAATATTTTTCTCCGAGATTTCACGGTCAATTATTAAGCATAAATCCATTCTCACTGCTGGAAAATCGTTTAGAATGAGATTTTACATGTTTGAAGTTGATTTCTGTGCTATTGTTACATGGTGAGCTAGCCATAGCAACTGGTCATGCTACGTAAGTTTATCAGATATAGCGGAAACAGTAATAATTCTTGAATGAATCATTGGACATGTAGAGTTAATAACAATTTCATATACAAAAGTATTAAATCAGTTTTTGTCCCAACTATCGTTACACATTTAAGGCTATACCCCTAACGGAGAACAATTTTCTCAATTCGATATTTTTTCCGTTAATATATCAGCTTCAGATGACACCAATCGTTTGTAATCATTAAGATTGTACTCAGAACTGCGAAACTATATGATAAGAAAGAAATTGTGAGAATTATCGAAAAATATAGTATACCCTGGAATATTTCATACTATGCTCAGTTTCTGAGAAATGTCCATTCTCAGCACTGCTAACAAATGGACTTATCGCAATATATCTTTAAACAGACCATCACACTTTGTACAAAGTCGCCTGTAACTGGTGGTAAGTTAATAGGTGCAAACAACAATCCACACTGGGGTGCTATATAGCAATATATTTGGTACATGCATTAAGCCTGATTGCTCAAGACGTGTATACACAACATTTCACGTTAATTTTCAAAACGTGTTGAAAGCACATTGTTATGAACATCTAGAATGAACACTATAAACTCATCACCTTGGTACACCGCCACACAAAGAGACTATAATTCGTGAAATCATATGTTTCAATAGCTGTATATCGAACACTAAACGGCAGATCTAATTATAAATGCCTTCAAGTATATCGCCACAAAGAAATAAAGCTATTCTTACCTGAATTATTCAAAATATTGTCGATCGTTTGTATCGTGAAAATGCAACATACTGCATGTAGTGAAATCTTAAGAATCATGCGAGCGCAATACAAAATAATGTTTGATCACCCCCCCCCCCCTCGTTTAAAAAACTTCCTGAAGCTTAATTATTCGCTCAGAATTACGACATCTCTACAGAAAGACGGACAGACACAAATCGAAATCTCGACTATGCATGACTCGGGCAAAGGGACTGAGCATAACTAAACGCAGCACTTCATGTCATGAATAGTGCGCTGCATTCGTCAACAATTTATATATCGTCTTGTGCATACGCTATGGCAATTATCATAAAACTCGTCACATTTGATGTTTAATTTTCCATGCAATATTGACTGCGCTATTGATGTTTTAAAGTCCAAGTAACATTTTTGAAAATGTCAAAAATGAGCATAACATTTTTCCAGATAGATAAATTTAAGACACACCATATTCAACATCAATCTATGCAATCTTTTAACATAAAAAAGGAAATTTTCATAGGAAGCTAAATTGGTATTTGATAGGCCGCTTTAATGATATTTAGCTTTACTGGCCTTTGAATGAGCATGAAATGCGAAGAAATTCGTGGCCCAATTGGGCCCGATGGCTCGTTTGACTTGAGCAGTTGAGGTCGTACTTCGTTAAGTAAGTCTTTGAAATTAATATTTCGGACTGTCAGGGCCAAAACTGCCCTAAATGCGAAGAATAAAGGCCAAACCTGGCGTAAACGAGCCAAATAATGATGAGCTGATGAGCATGTGATTGGATCGTTTTAATTTGTGCACAGTTGCTGATCAAACGTTAATTAATTCGTGTGTTGATTAATGCCGATGCATCCAAGCGGCGCCAATTAGGGGCGGACCATTAGAAAAGTGATGGGGGGGGGGGAGAAAGGGAAAATAAAAGTCGTCCAGGGGAAACAGAAAGAAAAAAAGATTCGTGCGCCAAGAAAGTTTGAGAAAAAAAATCGCGCAGACACATTTCAATAGAGAAATTATAAGTTGAAATAAAAAAAAAATCGTGCAAGGGATTAAATTTTAAAAAATTATTGAGACAAGCAAAAAATTTAAAATAATATTCATACAAGTTGAAAGAGTCCCCCCACCCCCATATATAACTTCTCTGCATGTTTCGCCATAAAAATGTGCACTTTTTCGTATTCGGTAAAGCAACTTATCCTCCTTTTGAAACAACATGCACGTTCGCATTAATTGCTTCAAGGGATTTTACAATTAGCATGACAATTTTCTACTAAAGCAGGAAAAGCCTAGGCTTCCAAGAATCTTTGTGCTAAGAATATCTGCTGTAGGTATCTTGTTCCTTGCAATTCTGAACTAGCTCGCAATTCTCAGGTCAAAGCGTATTTGACTGAATGGTATGGGGTCGATCTGCCTAGTTTGTCATGCAAATATTTATGGAATTGAAATCGACGATTTATGGATACGCAAAAAGCTATTGGACAGAAAATATATTTATTTCACTTGACGTAGTTCAGGAATCAAAATATTATATTAAAAGTACTACGATACTAGTCCACTGCAAAACATACTTTAATTACTACTAGTCAAAAATATAATTAATCTACACGTTTTATAACTATGATACATGCATACATCAAACTAATTTAGATTTCGTGTTCGTCTAGTGAAAAATATAACAATGAAAAAGCGTTTATACAATGTTACAACAAAGTAAGCATTTACTTTAACCGGAAAAAAGAGTGTTTATTAAGTTCAGCAAGACGGCTCGTGCGCGAAGAGATACGGCGCTGCTTTAAACTCACTGCAATCAATCTGTCCATCACCATCTTTGTCTGCCAGTTGGAAAGCTTTCACGGTTTCTTTGGAGTGTTCCTCCACGTTTATCGCTTCGGCCAGCTCTTCCAAAGTAATTCCACCACTCTTGTCAAGATCATAGTTTTCAAATTGGTCTGGCAATGGAACCCGAACTGTATTTTGTGGCTTGTCAATTGCGCTACGTTTGCCCCAGGTGCAACGAACTGAACACTGAACTCTGCAAGGAAAGCACACTAGACCACACTGATAGCGACAACCGCGTGCCGTTACGCTGCTGTACATTGTGCACAAAATCAAAATGGTAAAAACTGAGAGTTTATGAACAGAAGTCATCTACAAAATATAAATGGAGTAGGTGGTGTTTAATTGTGTTGTTTGTGCTACAGCTTTCATTCCATGGGTACAGATGATTTATCTGACCAGTATATACACATTTTCTATTTGTGGTAAATGAAATACTCACAGTGTTTTTCCAGAGATGTTCCCGATGTCCGATGCAAAAACTGTGATCTGATATTCTCCAACTGCTCTGAATCTTTGGCTCATAATAAAGTGATTGAAAAGCAAAACCTCTCCTGTATATATAATAGTAAAACCGGAATACGTATTTTTTGGTATAATTGTTGTTTTTTCAAAGTAAAATATCCGCTTCAGCTACAAGATATGTAAATTTGGTGATTGTTTGGTGATTGTTTGGTGATTGTTAGGCCATTCCAATCTTGTTTGCATCGATATTCTCGTACCCAGGATGCGCGTAATGCGAATTCTGAATCCCGGCGAGAAATGAGTGATACACAGTGTGTAGAAAAAACCTGAAAGACTTAACTGTAATTTTGTGTAATTACAACCCGAAACAATGTGTAAATGCATATCTTACATAATAAAACGACAAGCAAGTTCACTGACTCAAATTATTTTTGCTCCAAGCTTTTCACCCACTGCATCCTTTGACGGGCCCATTGTACATGTATCTAGATACAGTGAAGAATATATAATGTAAGTATGTAGTATATACATTGTATATATTTTTCGTTAGATTGTTTTCTGATACGCCTTAACTCATCAAAAGCTGCAATCGAAAAATATTAAAAGTACTAAATTTTCAGCGTCCTTGTGCTAAACTATCGTCACTTATATATGCAGCGCAATATTCGTGTATCATCTATAATTGAATGCATTCCTTAAATTAATGCATTAATTCATCATTGAAAAATGGTTGAACTAGTCATGTGAAGATTTTGTGCATGTAATAATTGTTTTCTTCGTTTTTCGGTCATGCTTTACGGAAATGTGACACTGCATGTATGTTTATTATAATGGTGAATGTCCATTTCAGTTATACTGGCTTGTCGGCGCCATTTAATATATTTACATTTCAAGCCTATAATTTGGTCATTGTTTGGTGTCAGCGCGTTTCTTGCCTTTTGACAGTTTGTTATCGTGTAAAGATCGAGACATGTAGATAACGAGAGCTATTTTGACCAATGCTTCACGAATATTTTTCTCCGAGATTTCACGGTCAATTATTAAGCATAAATCCATTCTCACTGCTGGAAAATCGTTTAGAATGAGATTTTACATGTTTGAAGTTGATTTCTGTGCTATCGTTACATGGTGAGCTAGCCATAGCAACTGGTCATGCTACGGAAGTTTATCAGATATAGCGGAAACAGTAATAATTCTTGAATGAATGATTGGGCATGTAGAGTTAATAACAATTTCATACACAGAAGTATTAAATCAGTTTTAGTTGTCCCAACTATCGTTACACATTCAAGGCTATACCGCTAACGGAGAACAATTTTCTCAATTCGATATTTTTTCCGTTAATATATCAGCTTCAGATGACACCAATCGTTTGTAATCATTAAGATTGTACTCTGAACTGCGAAACTATATGATAAGAAAGAAATTGTGAGAATTATCGAAAAATATAGTATACCCTGGAATATTTCATACTATGCTCAGTTTCTGAGAAATGTCCATTCTCAGCACTGCTAACAAATGGACTTATCGCAATATATTTTTAAACAGACCATCACACTTTGTACAAAGTCGCCTGTAACTGGTGGTAAGTTAATAGGTGCAAACAACAATCCACACTGGGGTGCTATAGCAATATCTTCGGTACATGCATTAAGCCTGATTGCTCAAGACGTGTATACACAACATTTCACGTTAATTTTCAAAACGTGTTGAAAGGACATTGTTATGAACATCTAGAATGAACACTATAAACTCATTACCTTGGCACACCGCCACACAAAGAGACTATAATTCGTGAAATCATATGTTTCAATAGCTGTATATCGAACACTAAACGGCAGATCTAATTATAAATGCCTTCAAGTATATCGCCACAAAGAAATAAAGCTATTCTTACCTGAATAATTCAAAATATTGTCGATCGTTTGTATCGTGAAAACGCAACATACTGCATGTAGTGAAATCTTAAGAATCATGCGAGCGCAATACAAAATAATGTTTGATCACATCCCCTACGGTGGCCCCTATGTGCAATACACAAAAGAAAATATTAGTGCACAAACAAGAGTTGAAATCCACAAACAAAATATTCAATACACAATTCGAAGTATATGTTCACGTAAATACGTTTCAGTGCACGATAAATTCGGTAAATACGCAACAACATATCTCACAACATCTGAATAAATTTCGTGCGAAACGTAAACACGAAAACTCGACACGCAAATATATTTTATTCTCAATACAAAACAAAATGTTGCATCTGCGAACATTAGGGATCATGTAGGAACATTTTGCGAACACCCTGTCTGCCCCTGTTATACCCATTTATCCATTTTGCGAAAATATGCAACAACGAAAATTCGCAGAGCTCTGTTCGTCAGTTTGTGGTTTGTTTTGGACTAAAAAATTGAGGTATATTTTTGAAAAATGGATCAAGTTCCACCCGAAATTCCCACATGTGAGGAACTTATACAACGTTACTTCAAGAGAGGGTTCAACTATCAGAAAATTCTCTCATTTTTATCGAAATACCATGACATTGCAATGTCTCTAAGGACATTGCATACAAAACTTCGTGACCTACAATCCTAGACAAATAACATGCGGAAGCTGATTAAAAATGTTTGAAATTTAAAGGAATCGAATAATTATACGCATATTCGGCCGTATTCCCCGCTCCCGGTCACTGAATAATTATACGCATATTCAGCCGTATTCCCCGCTCCACCGTTACAATGTTGTTGCTACAGATACTGCAATAGTTGCCATAATGACTGAAGTGTTCATCAACATTGTTTCAGGGGAGGGGGACCGACTTACGAAGTATATATGAAAATGTTTCAAAAAAAAATATTTGCCATGTTTGTCCGAGTAAATTTGTCTATGATTGTCTGAAAATGTATATTACAATAAATCTTCGTTAATTATCTTTTTCTGCATTGGAAAACAGTCGGAAATTCTGCAAATGCTATATTATGCCTGTATTAGAGTAATAAAGCAAAATGAGCGGTAGAGATTAATGAAAGGAGCATTCGCTTCCGCTTTGTCATATGCTCACTAGATAGCGATGCGTTTACCGTCGCGTTTGTCTATCTCTTTACGTGTTAACGCATGATAGAAAGAAGCGTATGACAATTATTTTATATCTAGTTGCGTAAAAACTGTATGCGATTATAGTATCATGAAATATATTAATTCTAAACCCTTGTATTTAAAATGCCCACGGTAAACATTGAAAAGCGATAGTTGCTGAATAATTAAGAATCATTGAGTAATTATATTTATAATGGGAGTCCTCGGATGTTTACCGTGATATTTTCCTGTTTTTTCCAAAGATTTACCGTGTATCATCATAAATGCAATGTAGATAATTTGGCTATAAGAAAGCATGTGAAATGGAAATTTATTGGGAAATCTGTCAGTGACAGGTTAAAATTTGTTGTGTGTGTTTACCGTCGGCCGCCGAGAAGTCCAAGAACCAAAATATTTCGTTAACGCAAGTTAGCGCGTAACCTGCATTAACCAATACGGCCACAGATATAACAAAGCAGGTCATGATAAAGATTTAATTCTTCAATTTTGTGCTAAGAATTTACACATTTAGAGTATTATCAGAACATGCTCACTATAAGCATTTATACAGGCTAGTGTGTGTAAAATATTTTGACTACTCTATATCAGCCATATAACAGTGAATAATTATATTATACTATTATATTCGATGTTATATTAGAGCTTTGAGTAGAATTCTTTCATCCCTTTCGTTTAAAGATTTTGGACGACCTTATGGCTTGCGGACACATGTACTCACACGGTTAATTTGCTTCCAACATATTGTGTGCATGCGCCGTTGATTTTGATATTCCACATCGTACGGCTATTCAGCAATAACTCAGTCCTATATATTCTCTATGAAAAGGAGCTAAAGCTCTTGTCTCCGTTCATACGTTTTCGCCACGTTGCGATTTATACGCACATTACGTTAATCATATGACGCCAACAATCTATCCAACTAACTGTAATTATAAAATATATTTGCATATTTTAACATTAATTTTAAATATTTTGAATATCATTTCTTATTCAGGTGTATATAGAACTTCGGTACTTCTAAAATGTGAAAATGGGTTGCAATTATACAATAATTCATGCTTTATACAACCGACAGTTTTTCAGACAATCCTAGACAAATAACATGCGGACGCTGATTAAAAATGGCTGAAATTTAAAGGAATCGAATAATTATACGCATATTCGGCCGTATTCCCCGCTCCCGGTCACTGAATAATTATACGCATATTCAGCCGTATTCCCCGCTCCACCGTTACAATGTTGTTGCTACAGATACTGCAATAGTTGCCATAATGACTGAAGTGTTCATCAACATTGTTTCAGGGGAGGGGGGACCGACTTTACGAAGTATATATGAAAATGTTTCAAAAAAAAATATTTGCCATGTTTGTCCGAGTAAATTTGTCTATGATTGTCTGAAAATGTATATTACAATAAATCTTCGTTAATTATCTTTTTCTGCATTGGAAAACAGTCGGAAATTCTGCAAATGCTATATTATGACTGTGTTAGAGTAATAAAGCAAAATGAGCGGTAGAGATTAATGAAAGGAGCATTCGCTTCCGGTTTGTCATATGCTCACTAGATAGCGACGCGTTTACCGTCGCGTTTGTCTATCTCTTTGCGTGTTAACGCATGATAGAAAGAAGCGTATGACAATTATTTTATATCTAGTTGCGTAAAAACTCTATGCGATTATATTATCATGAAATATATTAATTCTAAACCCTTGTATTTAAAATGCCCACGGTAAACATTGAAAAGCGATAGTTGCTGAATAATTAAGAATCATTGAGTAATTATATTTATAATGGGAGTCCTCGGATGTTTACCGTGATATTTTCCTGTTTTTTCCAAAGATTTACCGTGTATCATCATAAATGCAATGTAGATAATTTGGCTATAAGAAAGCATGTGAAATGGAAATTTATTGGGAAATCTGTCAGTGACAGGTTAAAATTTGTTGTGTGTGTTTACCGTCGGCCGCCGAGAAGTCCAAGAACCAAAATATTTCGTTAACGCAAGTTAGCGCGTAACCTGCATTAACCAATACGGCCACAGATATAACAAAGCAGGTCATGATAAAGATTTAATTCTTCAATTTTGTGCTAAGAATTTACACATTTAGAGTATTATCAGAACATGCTCACTATAAGCATTTATACAGGCTAGTGTGTGTAAAATATTTTGACTACTCTATATCAGCCATATAACAGTGAATAATTATATTATACTATTATATTCGATGTTATATTAGAGCTTTGAGT